CTTTTTCTGTAAAGCCTTTGCAAACCCCTCTTCTGTCCAGGTCAGAATGCACCACTCCTTCCGAGTTTCCTAGCTTTTGGACATGCCTCTGTCATAACTTTACCACCTCATGTTACTTTCTCCTCCACTGGGCACCTAACAGTCCAGAACACATGCAGCCCGGGGGCATCTAATAGGCATCTGAACATTTCGATGAATAACAGCTGTTCCTCACCCATATTCTCCTCAAACTAATGAATTTATTGCCACTCCATCCCCTTTGGACTGAGAGAAATTTTGGTTATCAGATCATGGATTAAATTATGTAATAAATTACCAAAAAAAGATGAACATATAGGAATGGGAGGAAGGGGTATTTTTAATGGAGCTGGGATCACAGAACAAGAAACGCTAGGTTAAACAAGTACCTCAATTACGATGCCATAGCTGCTCCTTTGCCAACTTTTAAGGGTGACACACACACACAAACAAAATCTCTCTGAATGTATAGTATGAGTTTACAATTTCTGCTAGTACTGCTGAAGACTGTGGAAAGAACCTAAAACTGGCACTACCCACACACAGAGTCGCATCATGCCCATCAATTTATTTGGATCTCATTGAAGGAGTTTTGGAGCAATGCTTAAGATATAGCTCAACAAAAGAAGAACATTTAAATTATGTAAAAATGAATTCCAGTGATTTAAATTCATTAACTTTACATAGTAAGATTTCAAACATAATACTGTAGTTTCAAAATACAAAAAAAAAAAACAAAAACCTTCAATAATTTGAATTCAAGGGAGCTATACTGTCTGAATTTTTGCAGGAAAAATTTTAATTGAATAATGTCACTTTCAAGTACATTTAGAAACTTGAACTTGAGAGGGGGACGAGTGTATCCAAGCTTAGATCAATGATGATGATGAGTGATGGCAGCTATTTAACCAATGTTCACTGAGTGATGGCTGTGTGCCAGATATTGTTTGAGGTGCTGAGGATACAGTAGTGAACAAACACATGAATAATGATGGTAAGAAGGACATTTATGGAGCCCTTACTATAGGCCAGGCCCTGAGCTAAGTGCACTGCAATTCTGTGACCTACAATTATTATCTTCATTTCACAGACGCAAAAACTAAACTTCTGATAGTTAACTCACCTGAGGTCACAAAACCAATTATAGAGGTGGAAGTTTCTGCTACCAAAAATTGGACCCCAGAGTGTACAGATATGCAATTATAATATTGTAGAGCTGAAATTTGTATGTTATTAACCAATACAACTTCAATAATAAATAAACGAATAAATAAAACCATTAACCTCTACAAAATATTAATTAAAAATAAAGTGGTGGGAGTTGGCCGCTACCTAGTATTGTCGGATTCCAGAAGTAGCACAGCGGTTGAGTATAAATGGCTGCTGGAAATGTTTCATAGGTCGAGGACTAAACCATTTTAAATCTTCACTCTTTATGCTTATGCATTCCATTTTTACAGTTGCTATAAAAATTCAGTACGGTTCTACCGAAACTTCAACAAATTTAAATTAGTGGAGCCCAATCAATGAGTTTCATCATGGCATTACTAATGACTTAAGCTCATGGATCTAGAAGGTTCTATGTGACTTAAACTGTACCTTAGCAAACTGTTACCACTTTCATTCAGTGTTTTCAGTGTTTCACTGCTCCCCTTTGTGACTGTTGCAATGTCTGCACACCACTTGTACTATTATTTACTCAAACTGACTCATGATTTTTATCTAATTTTTTAAAGGAAAATAGTATCACTACTATAACTAAAAAAGCACTGATTCATTCAACAAATATTTATGAAGTGCCTAACGTACACTAGGCAATGAAAATACAGCCGTGAAAAATATACCAAAAAGAATCCCCTAGTAGGGAGAATAGACAATAAATGAATAGAATATATAAACCATTAGAGAGTGGTCGGTGCTGAGGAAAAAAAGGGAGGGGTATATCAGGTGTCAGTTGGGGAGGGTGGAAATTTTAGGTAAGGGAGCTAAGGAAGCCTCATTGAGAAGAGGACTTATGAGTAAAGACCCGAAAAAGTCTGGAAATCCAAGAGAAAGGCAATCTAGGTGTGGGAACAGACGGTGTAAAACCCAGTGGGCCTGAGTGTTCCAGGAACAATGGGGAAGTCATGGGCAAAAGGAAGACTGGGTAGGAAGCTATTGCAAAAATCCCGGCAACAGATGATGGTGACTTGGACCAAATTCTGAAAATATTATGAAGGTAGAGCCAGCATTTGCTGATGGACCAGTCATGGGGTGTCAGGGAAGCGGGATCAAAGAAAATCCTAAAATCTTCGGCTAAGCACCTGGAAGGATGGAGTCCAACACATTTCTTTTGTTTTCTTCCTCCCTTCCCCCGACCCCAGGTCCTCCTCCACCACGCCAGCTTTGGATTTCCGTTACTTGCATCACAGTCCCCTCTCTCAAAGGAAGAAATTTAGAAAGCACTGATATTCAAAAGAACAGATTTAAAACTGCTTGTGATTTTGCTTATCTAAAATCTGTGTGCTACATAGTTCTGATTCGGCAATCTTGGAATGATTACGGTACTATTAGAATACTATTTTCAGGGATCCAGCAGATACCTTTCAGAGTGAAATTCTGTATGTTGTAAATTTACTGAATATACTCTGAATATTTTAAATATACTGAAATTCTGTTTAGTGTAATTCTGGTACATAGATTGCTTGGCTGGGTACTAAGGAACACACATTTTCTTAGAGAAAAGAAGCATTCCTGGTTCTTATAATTTAGGCTATAAATGGATGTATACTTGATCAACTATGTGCCTCTTTTGTCAATGAATTAATGCAATTGTTTAGCATCATAAGCTCAAACTTTCACTAATTTGTTATTCACTTATTAGTCCAAGGAGAGGATAGATTAAGTATAGTAAAAAATATACAAACAGTGACTAATAGCCTCATGATAAGCCAGGACATTAAATAAGAAAAACCAGTATTCTGATTTTATCTTAAACACTGGCCTATTACTTTAGTGTTAAAATAACTGGTATTTGAGTTTAGAGCCAATATTTTGGTCTCTGTATAAAAATAATGCCTTTGGCATTAATAAATCATTAAGCACCTATCTTAACAGCTTCAACATAAAAAAAATACTGTTAGTAAATAACCTGCATTACCCTCAATTATACAAATTAATATTCCTATCCCAAACTATATCCAGTACCATGCATCCATTTCATCAGATTAATAAATTTTGACTATGAATTATGTTTACTTTTAGACAGTGCAGCAAATTGAACATTTAAAATATAATAAAGGAAAAAAACTTACATAAGTAAATTGATGCCTCCTGACTCTAAAGCATCAAGGCTGGTTTCTCCACTGGGCTGCAGACCTGCCTGTCTAGCAGCTCCCGGACTCTGTGAGTGTCAAACTGAACTCATCTTTTGCCTCAAACTGCCTCTGTTCCTATTAATGTCATCTCCATTCACTGGGTCAACCAGGTTAAGAACTTGACCCATCCTTGACCCCTGTCTATCCTTTACTTCCTATATCCAGTTAATTGTCAGGTACTGCCCGCTGAACGGCTTCCAAACTGGCTTCCCTGCACTCATCTCTCCCTTCTCCACCACACTGCCAGAATTCTCTTCTTAAAGCTCAGAATTATGTTGTTATGTGCTCAGCTCCTAAACTCCCAAGGCTTTCCACAATTTGGCCGACTTCCCCATTGCTTGTTGTTTTGGTGATACCCAAAATTTCATTTAGAGATGACTGATGACACAGAGTGGTCAGTGCCATTGGAGGTTTTATTGTTCACAGTTCCTAAAAGACATGGCCCAGAGTCTTTACTGTGGTTTCTCTGGCAAGGAATGGGCGAGGCAAAGTAGGCAAGTTTGAGCAAGTTTAGGACAGTTTGAATAATCTTGGTGGACTCTGGGCTATAAAAGTGGTCTCCAATTGTCCAGTACTTGACCTTGGGGTGATTTAGAGCAGGGGGACTATTGCCTTGGTATGTGGGAGTTAGATAAAGGAAGTGGTTGGGGATATGGACTTTGAATTGGTTGGTTTGTACATGGAAGGTATATTCCCACGTAAATTGTTACTCTAGGAATTAGCTCATCCTGGGAGGGGCAGTTCCTCCCTGCAGCCCCAAGATGTCAAAGTATAAAATACAGAACATAAATACCACGATTAATACACATCTCCCTTCCCAGGAACCCTTTACTCACAGCTCTAGATGCCTAGAAAATGCTCTTTTATATGGAAAACGTTCTGTAGTGCATCTCTCAAAACTGCCACACCCATATCCCTTATTGAGTAGCACACCCAAGTCTGGTACCATGATCCCTTCCTTGCACCCCTCCCCCCACTAGGCCAATGACGGTACCTGACACAGGAACCCAATCTACAGAGTGGCTGGCAACCTATGATCCTTGTTGTCTGCCCCAAAAAGATGAACTGGAGAAATCACATTTTCTTTTTTAAGGATTTACATTAAGAACCACAAAAAGAGATTGCCAGTTAATGGCAAAGTTAGCCGGGTGGCCCTGAATTAGATGCAGGGCCTCTGCAAGCCATGTGTACTCTAGTGCTCCAGCCCCCTCATCCCACTCTTCCCATACCTCCTCCAAAACTCTATAATACTCCATAATAACTACTTAGGGCTAGTGCTGGAGGTTTTTCTTTTTTTTCCAAGTACCAAGATTAACAGAGATGCACAGTGACAAAACTAGTAAATAGCTTTGACTTGATCAAGCCTGCGATGGAGGGCACAATGCCGCCTTCCTTTACCCGTCCCCCCACACCCCCACCCCCGCCTCCGCAAACGTGTTGTAAAGTGTTTTTAATTTCATAAAAATATTTAAACGACCACATAAACACAAATGTTTATGCATCCTGCTGCTTTGGGTATCTTCTTAAGGTTCCCACACTGGGCTACACTATGAGAAGAAAATTTCTAGCGAACCTACTTAGTGCTCCCCAGCCATCGCAGACTTTATCGATTGCTTCTGCCTGGGCTGACCCGCCTGGATCGACTGCTCCCGTCTGGTCTGTCCCATGCGCGGGAAAATAGATTCGATCCGGCAACCCTATCCAATCTTCACAACGCCGACCAGCCACCTTTTACATCCCTGACTCCGCGAGGTCTACCGAATTACACGAGTGGAAGCAGAGAAGCTCAAACTGCCGCCATGTCCGAGGCTTATTTCCGGGTGGAGTCGGGTGCGCTGGGACCTCAGGAGAACTTTCTTTCCTTGGACGACATCCTGATGTCCCATGAGAAACTCCCAGTGCGCACCGAGATCCCCATGCCACGCCTCGGCACTTTTTTCCAGGAACGGAGTGGAGGGGCCGACACCGACAATGCGATTCCTCAGGTGAGCCTTTCCGCTCGGTCAAGCGCGGAAAGACTACAACTCCCGGTGGGCCTTGCGGCTTTGGGGGACGGTGCATCACTGGGCGCGCTGTCCCCTGGGAATTGTAGTTTTAGGAGAGGAGGGTTCTTAACGCGCCCGAGTTCTGTTCGCAGGTCGCGCGCGGAGAGCTATAGTTGTTTCCCCACCCGGCCTTGGCCACGTTTATGGAAACGAAATTTATCCTAGGTCCTCAGGCTCTTTTTAGCACTGATTCCATTTTTGAAACTATACATTCGGCAGTGTCTGCCCCGCCCCATGAGTTGATGCTTAAGGATTGGCTCCTATTGAATGCTTCAGGATCAGGGTTCTGATCACGTTTGCCTTAAAGCAACATGTTCTGTTCAGAGCATGTGATAAGTCTGGGACCCACAAATTGATAGATTCACCTCTGCATGACGGTAACGTTATCCGCAGCCATTTACTGAGGTCTTTGGTACCAACATGGATGGGGTAGGTGGAGTGTAATTTTCCATTTATTACTCCTTTAATCCTTCAAGAACCCTGTAATTAGGTATTGTTACATACGAGGAAGCTGAAGCCCAGAAAAGTGCCGCTGTAAGTAGTGAGCTGGGATTCCACCCTAGGGCTGTATAACTTCACATACAAATTTGTCCCAAGAATATCGCATGTAATGGTTATTTTCAATTCCCTATTTAACCCAAGTTTTATTTAGAAGATGTTTTTGTTTGGTTTTGTTTTGAGTTCATTCTTATCCAAGTAATACATATACAAAGTTTGAAAAGTCAGATGAGCATTGTCTTGCTTTCCCTCACTTCCTTTTCCAGCTCCAAGAGGTCTGTCTACTTCCTTTAGTAGTTTCTTCAAGATTCACCTCCATATTTCTACTTAGTTCCTGATTTTTTAAAAATGTAGACATTATTTATTCACTTCATTATAGTAAGTAATGATGTAGTTCTTTTCCACACTGGCAGAGACGTGCTGCCCATACTTCAGATTTCCTTCAATTTTACATAATGTCCTTTTTCTGTTTCAGGATACCCCATTGCATTTAGTAGTCATGTCTCCTTACACGCCTCTTGGCTGTAACAGTTTATCAGACTTGTTTTTAATGATTGTGTGACCGTTTTATGGAGTGCTTTTGTTGCTTCCTTCAACCCAGTTATGTTTGCCTTTTATTTTTATTTTTTGGGTATTTTTCTTAATTTCTGGTCTATCATGGCCATCTCCTGATATTTTCCAATTTCGTTTAAACTTGAAAAAGATAGACATTTATCTTTTCTGTCATCTTTGAAGCTATGATTTCATGGTATGGGGAGGGTCTCTAGCCTGAGCTCAGGCTGATCTATTTTTCTTTACATTCCTATAGCACCCAGAGTGGTGCTTAGCACATAGTACGCACTCAGTAAGTATATATATGGAATAGATACTGAATATTCAAAGAAAGAAGAAATGTTTATTATACTTCTAAAGTATCTGGAATTGGACAGTTTTTATTTATGTTAGAAAACTTTCCTTTTTTTTAACATTTTTCTATTTTTCCCTCTTCCCCTTGGTAACCGCTAGTTCATTGTCCATGTCCATGAGTCTCTATTTGGAAAACTTTCCCTTTATACCACATTTTTGTTCTCTATTATATTTTTATTGTATAAATCCATTTCTCTCTCCATTCCATCATGACATAAAACTTGAGCCCACACAATCCATTTCCTCAGGTCACAATCAGATCTTGTGCGTTTGATCATCACTTCCTCAAAGAGAACAGGCGATACTGCTCATGCAGTGTGTATTTCCTTTTTGTCACACACATTTACTGTGTCATTGTTTTTAAAGTCTACATTCTTGTCTGCTGCAGGGCTCAAAGCTGGAACTCCCCTTGTGGCTGGCAAAAGGACTTTTTGACAACAAGCGGCGGATCCTCTCTGTGGAACTTCCTAGGATCTACCAAGAGGGTTGGAGGACTGTATTCAGTGCGGATGCCAATGTGGTGGACCTCCATAAAATGGGGCCCCATTTCTATGGGTTTGGCTCCCAACTCCTGCATTTTGACAGTCCAGAGAATGTAGACATTTCTCAGTCTCTCCTACAGGCAAGTAATTGATGTGAAAAACCTATGGCACTGTACCTGTCTCGGGAGCCAGCTGTGGCAGCCACCAGCCGTCACTCTTACCAGGGAAGTACAGAATTTATGCCATTAACTAGTTTATTATTATTCCAGGTCAGCCTAAAGTTAGACTGTATTTGCCAATTATATATGTACTTTAATATAGCTCGTCTACTGCTCTTCATATTTGCTTGCTAAGAGCTGAGACCAGCAGGAAGTCCTGGAAATGAGAAAGGGGCAGTGGTTGATTACAGTAGTCGTGCACTTAAATACACACTTGCAGCGCAGCCCTAGGACTGGTCGGAGGGTTCCTTTTGGAAATACATGTGCTCTCTGGTTATTTGTTCCCTTGCTCTGGGGTTAAGACCTGGCTCTGCAATGTATTGGCTATGTGACTTGATCAAGCTACTGACCTCTAGGCATCAATTTTTCACCTGTAAAATGGAGATAATGATAGTGCCAAAATAATAGAGTTGTAGTGAGATTATGTAGTGCCGTTTAATGGTAACTATTATTGTTTGTGGACAAAACAGTGTTATGCATATATTACCATCCTTCACAGTAGAACCTTACTTTAACTTTTCATAATTATTTTTCATTCTGTTACTACTAGAAGAAACCATCCTTTCTACCTCTTGTTTTACTTCCTCATTTTTAGCTTTATAAGACCTATTGGGTCAAGATATATTTGCTCTACATATATTACTTCATTGGATTTTCACAACCACCCATTTCACAGACAAGGAAGTAGAGGCTTGGCAATGTGAAATAAGTTACTCAGACTTTTCTTCTGCCTGAGTCCTGAGACCAAATTCTTCCCTTTCATGCCATTTAAATGTTCAGGAATAAAAGTGGATCTGATTTCTCTTACTCCCTTCTTCTTCAGACATTTATTGGACGTTTTCGCCGCATCATGGACTGCTCCCAGAATGCTTACAATGAAGACACTTCGGCGCTGGTAGCCAGGCTAGATGAGATGGAAAGGGGCTTATTTCAAACAGGGCAGAAAGGATTGAATGACTTTCAGTGTTGGGAGAAGGGGCAGGCTTCTCAGATCACAGCTTCTAACCTTGTTCAGAACTACAAGAAGAGAAAATTCACTGAGTTGGAAGACTGAAGGCCAGAAGAACACAGAACTGCCCACTATAGATTTATCCCTGAGTGTCCTTGGTAAGAACCTGGTTGACCCTATAAAGGGCCAGAATCCTGTCCCATCTCATGGCTTATTTCCTGCAGCAGCCCCAGGAGTGACACATCATCTAGTTGGGAAAGAAAATGCTGGAGGGTATAAATATTTCAGGACTACCCCCACCCTCCTGCCTGACAGCCCAGGCTGACTTAACCCCAGAAGCCACAACCAAGGAGAAATCAAAGATCTTTACAAATTAGGATCATTAATACGTACATTGCAATAGAGTTGGAACTGGAATTCCATGTGCCTGGGATTTGGACACCCTCGATGTCCAGTGTCACTAGCTCCAATGGACAGCTACGAATTGGGCTATCTTAGTCTCGTCACAAAATGTTCTCTTGATCTTAATTGCCTCATCTTTCTCTTGGTGGCACAAAGGACAGCACTCCCAGGATGCTGGTCTTGTAAATATCTCCTGCTGCCTGCCTGTTACCCCAGTTTCCAAGAATAAAGAAGGCAAACGGAAAGGCTGATGAATGGCCTGGCTTTTACTAAAGAGACGACTTTGCTTTCCTCCTCCGTCATTAAAAAGTCCCATGACTCTACAGTCAAGGTAGGGAGGAGATGGTTAAATTGAGCTTGTTTTTGTCTTAGATCTTTAGGGCACCTGCATAGTTATTCCATTCCTGCCCTGGAAAAGCTGTTGGAGTAGTCTGGAATTGCAAAACAGTTATTAATGGGTGTTAACCTGCCCTCATTACATCAAAATCAGGACTTTAGAGCTGCTGGTTATGCAGAGCCATGTTTGAGAAGCTTAAAATGGCAAATGTAAGTGGGCAAGAGGCCTTGGTTATGTTTTTTTCTCTTCATTCCATTTTGCAGCATTTTTACCTATTGGATCCCTGACCTTTTACTGAGAATCTGTTTAAGCAAGCACATAACTCGTTCCTTGGAGAGGCAGGCAAGGAGGACGCCTTAGGCTGAGTAGGAAACAGCATTCCCGGGGCTCGCTGGACTGTTTGAGGGGCAGCTGCCTCCACACCACTGCGCCCCTTACAGCTTCCCACAACTAGTGGAAATTGCCTTTGTTGGTGGAAATTATACAGGGATTTGGGTATCCGGACTGCAGATGTCTTGATGCAAACTTAGAATATCAGGAATGCTTTTAAAATGTCTGTTTTAAGATGGAATCGATGTTTTTATAACTTGATTTTTGTGCTAAATAAATGATTTGCTTTGCACATGAATATATTCTGTACAAGTCCTGTTTCTATAACTTGAGTACTACAGACCAGGCAGATCTATCAGAGAATGTTGTCTTTGATCATCTCTGACAATAATGCCCAAATAAATCATGTTTTAGCAACTGCTCTTCTGTTTGGATGAGACTCATATAAATATTTGGGGGGGACACACTCAGAGATATATAGAGACTTGGGAGGGAGACTCAGAGATAAAGAGACTCAGAGAAATAGACTCGGAAGGGGACACATACTCAAATACGACACTCAGGAGGGAGAGACTCAGGGGGAGACCCAGAGATAGACTGGGTTAGGAGAGACAAGCAGTGACTTGCTAGTGGAGGACCCAAGACATGACTCGGGCGAGACTCGGAAATGGGAGCGTCAGGAGAAAAGAGACTCGTAAAGCAACAGAGACCTTGCAGCCACCTGTGGAGATTTCACATTTTTTTCCCACATGGAATAGTATTAAAATCTGTCTGTGGACTAGGACAGAAAGCTAGTCTCAAAATTCTCAAAGGGTTGGCAAAATTCAGAAGATCTTCTGCATCTACAACGCAAGACAGTGATCCCAGAAAGAACGGAAGCAGACATGCGGAGCTGTTTGATTGCACCAGCAGTTAGATAAGCATCGTGCCTTCAGGAAAATATTTTCTCTAGATATAGAGATGACACACATCACAAATGTTTTGAGAACGTGGGCTAGGAACCTCCGTGTTGGAAAAGAGTTGAAGTAAGGAAAGCGGAGAGATGAGAGTGACCTGTGGTGTCAGGTTGGAACTGAAGGTACTATCAAGGGATGGTTTTAGCATTATATGTGTATATAAATGTGTGTAAGAATGTAGATATATGTAGGTGTTCAAATATGTGTACCCGTAGAAATGTTTTCATATCGTACATATGTTCATATCGTACATATGAATATACATACTTCTGTATACATTTTATGTGTAAATTGCTAAGGATATACATATGTCTGTACATACACACATACTTTTTTCTACTTTTTTAGGAGAAAACCTAGAATAAACGACTCCCAGTGTTGATATATACACCTCCACTTAGGCATGGTTTATACAGACCACCAAAAAGTAAGGCACAGTTCTTGGAAGAGAAGGTTGAATCCAGGGCCGAGGCAAGGAGGGTGCAAGATGAATCTGGAACAGTCACCTGTGCCAGAAAGTGGGAAGACGCTCACAAAAATAAGGAGACATCAATGGGACATCAAACAGGACACAGACTCCTAGCCACGTCTGGGTCAATGTGAGTGCCACATTAAATAAAGACAGTAGTGGATTTTAACCCTTTGAATAAAATAAGGTCCTGAGTCCATACTAAAACAAATAAATAACAAATAAATAGATGGAAGGGGGAAGGCAAACTCCCTTATAACAGAATTAACACACAAAGACGCCAGTTCTCCCAACTGGAGTCTCCACATCCCTACTTACTCTCCTGGCGACGGCACACCTCCAGTGACCTGTGTGTCCAGCACGCAGAGGAGTTGCCGGTGCTCACATCCCAGCCAGGAGCCACCTTGTGAGAAACGAGCAGCGCTCACACGTATACCTGGCAAGGCTCCCAGGTTCCTGCCTCAGGGCCACTGCTGCCTCCTGGGTCATCCTGGGTGCCCAGATTCCACATAAAAACAGTGTGTCCTGGAAGGGGGACAGGCTGTGGCTGGTGCCTGGTGGACCAGGCCAAGGGAGAAACTAAACCTGGGGGCTTTGGGTTTCTCAGAATAGAGGAGGTGTCCAAAACCTCCTGTCACTCCCTGAGGTCAGGGAACTTTGTTGTGCTGAGTTCATACCTAAGAGGATGCTGTAGGAGGGCCTCGTCGCTAGTTTACTGACGTTAAGGCTAAGGCGTGCACACACGTGCACATATACACACGGAGTCTGGAAGGACAGATTAAGAAAATGATTATGTTTGTCTCTGGGCAAAAAGACTGGGAGACAGAAGTGGGAGTGAGAACATTTTACTGACTTGGTACCACTTGGTACCAACTCCTCTGCGTGCTGGACACACAGGTCACCACTGGAGGTGTGCCGTCACCAGGAGAGTAAGTAGGGATGTGGAGACTCCAGTTGGGAGAACTGGCGTCTTTGTGTGTTAATTCTGTTATAAGGGAGTTTGCCTTCCCCCTTCCATCTATTTATTTGTTATTTATTTGTTTTAGTATGGACTCAGGACCTTATTTTATTCAAAGGGTTAAAATCCACTACTGTCTTTATTTAATTATTTATTTATAGGTGAATAGATGGCAAAACCTTAAAATAGTGAGATTCCTGTCAACTGTCCCGGTTAAGAAAGGTATAGGGAATTATGTCTACATGACACCATTTTTGAAAGAAGTTAGGAAGATCAAAAATGTACGAAAGATAAAAAGCCCTAAATATGGCCCAATCGTCCTAAGGGGCTGTGTGAACATGGAAAAAGGATGGAAAAAAGCAGTGTTTGCTGTGCATCCTGCTACCTGCAGTCTAGGGATCCAGCTCCACCCCTGGAAATGACTCCTCCCTCACACCTGCCCTCTGAGCTTCTGAAGCCCCGCACATCTTCACGTCCCCCGCCCCCTCACACTTACCCATTCCCATATATTCACCAGCAGGCCTGCTGTCTGCCCTGAACCCGACTGTGACCCAAGGGCTGGCCCAGCCCAGGGTCCATCCATGTATTCACTGAGCACTAGAATATCTTGGCCTTAGGCAAGGGAGCAAGGCTAGCTGCCTCTACCTGAAGCCCCAGAGGCCTCCTTCTCTACAACTGGGAACCCTGACTGGAAGTGGAGTATGGGAGCAGGGCTGTGCTGGGGGAGGAGTGGGGGTGCCACCCTGGGAAGCCAGGCTCCACTTCTTGGCCGGCTGCTGCCTTTGGCCTCACGTGAGGGGCAGGACTCTGTGAGTACTGGGGGCCAGGGGCTTTGGTCCATTTCTAGGGAGGGGCATGAACCTTGGGTGCTGCCAGTCACAGCTCGGTGTCCGTCTGTCCATCAGTTCAGCCTGAAGCTGCTCAGGATGCTGCCATCCCTTCCTTAATAGAGAAACCACCCCATCACCCTAACCTGAAGTCATTCTGTCCCCCAGGGGTCTTTGACCATTTCAGGAGACATTTTGGTTGTCACAAATCGGGGGCTGGGAGCTACTGGCCTCCAGTACATAGTGGCCCAGGATGCTGCTCAGCACCCAGAAGAATGCCTCTGCCTCAGCTCCAGCCCTTCTCAGCAGTGGTCCTGCAGCCATGTCCACCCAGACACCATGTGGACATGCTCTGCTCCAAGCCCCCAGTGTCAGCCTGCCAACCTCCACCTGACTGCTCATCCAGCCTCCAGGTCTGTGCAGACATGGTCTCTGAGGCCCAGAATCCCAATGGCAAGCACACATATCTGTGCCCCTCAAGCAGACCCATAACTCAGTGTCACCCCTATCAACCATCCTTTGGAGCCACACCTGCCCGCTCAGTGGCTCAGAATGATGAACACGAGCCTCCCCACCCCCAGATTCTCAGTGGAACCATACTCATCCACATACCTGGTGACATGCCCCAAAGCTACAGACTCAGATGCAGACACTGAATTAGACCTTCATCTCAGCCCCAGACCTACTGATCCACTGAATTAGACCTTCATCTCAGCCCCAGCCCTACTGATCACTGTCCTAAAGCTGCTCTTGTCCACCCAGGAATATACAGGCTCTGCACCCATTTCAGCTCTTGGGAACAGGCCTGACAACAGCAAATGCCTCTGTGGACCTCCCACAGCCGTGTACCCCAGCTCTGACTCTGTTTCTCAGTCAGCGAATCCTAGAGGCAATCTCGTCACCTGGAACCCACTAAAGGAAGGTATTTACCTGCTGAAACTGAAGATGAGAAGGGCGTTTGCTCCTTGAACTGCACAGACATCAACACAAGGCTGTGTGGATCCCAGAAAATCAGGCAGACATGACACCACCAAAGGAAACATAACAGTCCAGTAACTAACTCAAAGGAAGGGATACCTACAATCTGCCTGACAAATAATTCAAAATTATCACCCCAAAGAAGCTTAATGAGATATCAGAGGACATACGTAGATCTATAAATGAATCAGGAAAACAATGCAGGAACAAAATAATAAAGAAATAGAAATCATAAAAATGGACAAAGGACCTCAACAGACATTTCTCCAAAGACGATGTACAAATGACGAACAGACATAGGAAAAGATGTTCAACATCATTAATGATTGGGGAAGCAGCCATCAAAAGCATAGTAAGATACCACCTCAGCCTGTGAGAATGGCTAACTTCAAAAAGCCACAGATAACAAGTGCTGGTGAGGATGCAGACAAAAGGGAACCCCTCTTGCACTTTTGGTAGGATTGTGAGTGGGTGCAGCCACTTGAAGAACACGGTTTCAATGGCTCAGGGTCACTCATGAGTGGATTTTTTTTCAGTTGACCTGCACAGTTCAAACTGGCACACATAATGGAATAGGACTCAGCCATAAGAAATAGGAATTCCTGCCATTTCCAACAACATGGGTGGACTTTAAGGGCATTATACTAAATGAGAGAAGTCAGAGAATGAGAAATACTATAGCATATCACTTATATGTGGACCTAAAACAAAATTAAAAAACCGACATGAAAAAGAGATCAGACAGAAAACACCTAATCGGAGCAGCAAAAAGAGAATTAAAAAAAAAAAAAATGAGGGTAGTTTAAGGGATCTGTGGGACAACATCAAGCACAACAACATTTGCTTCATAAGAGTGCCAGAAAGAGGAGAGAATGAGCAAGGGGTTGAGAATCCAACTGAGGAAATAATGATTGCAAACTTCTCTGACTCAGAGAAAGAAATAGACATACAAGCCCCGGAAGCACGGAGATCCAAACAAGATGAGCCCAAAGAGGCCCACACCAAGACACATGGTAATTAGACTGCCAAAGGTTAAAGACAAAGAACATCTCAAAAGCAACAAGATAAAAGCAGTTATTCACTTACAAGGGTGCTCCCATAAGACTGTCAGCTGATTTCTCAACAGAAACTTTGCAGGCCGGAGGGATTGGCATGAAACAGTCAAAGTGATGAAAAAGCAAGGACCTATAACCAAGATTACCCAGCAAAGCTGTCATGTAGCATTGAAGAACAG